CACACTACCACAGGTAGAAATTTTCATTGTGAGGATGAATTTGGGAATGAGATCAAGGGACATGAGAACATCAGTTGTTTATTTAACATAAATATTCCAAGAAAACTCAAATCTTTAGGAAAAAGTAGAAACCTTACCTGGCTTCTTAGCAAATCATAATTCAGAATTACTGGAATAGTCACAGCCACAAAACCAAGTGATCTTGTTACTGCTCCATTCTAAGTAGCCTACAAATGCATTTCTCATTTGAGAACATGCCTGCTTGGCTTACATACCGACTAGTCTGTGTCTGCTGTATCTCAAATTCCAGGATGTCGTTATGCAGCAATTTCTTTTGAGATAAAACATTCCATTCTGCAAGGATCTGTTAAAAGTCAGAACTAAACAACTCATAACTTTTAGGAAGTCCCTGAAACTGACCAGATATACTATGCCCCTCCCTCTTTTAAGCTTATAAAAGTAGTAGTAATAACTGCTAAGAGACACTCTCGGACAAGCTGAGGTGCCTGAAAGAGGCCCTGGGCCATAGAAGTGGCCTACAGAAGATACTCTTTAACTTGTAAAGCTGCCTGCAAGTTGCGCAGTGAGCTCTAGGTTTCCAGAGTTCATGAACTCTCACCCTTGCTGAAGTGGGCTTTTGGTGATGCAGTCATCTTTCTTTGAGCCGTTTCTACTCCTATAAGTAACCTCAATAAAACACATTGGTTCATCAAGTTGAATTGTGGTGGTATCTTTACTTTGATCTCTTGTTGGTTCCCTGCTTAGGCTGAAAGAGATTTTTTTCATGTCTGTCAAGGAATAGTTTCATACAAAGGGTATTATTGGAATAATGTGTCATCATTTCCTCAGGGAAGAATTTTTATGCTAACTACTTCCCTACCATCCACACTTCAAATCATGTTATCTGTTATTAATTGTTGTCTAGTAACACAGGGTAACACTCATCACTGAGTAGGGTGACAGGGGTCAGAATATTGTCACTTCAATAGAACCTTCAATAGAACTATTCATGGCACTTTGGGAGAAAAAGGCTATAGTTTTTAACAGATGTTCTCAGAGGCATTTGTCCCAAAATAGATGAGGAAATCTATTCTCCTCCCCCCCCCGCCCGTGGCTATACACCCCAAACTCACATATACCTCCCCCACCACAAACACCACATTTGACACATACACCTCCCACACACAACACACACAAGCTGTAAAATAAATGTTATAGTTTATTGAATCACAGTGAGTTTGGCTCACTGGTAAATCTGAGTAGTTCTTATAAAAGCTTCCTTTGTATTTTCCTTTCAAACTATGAAGTTTTAATGGACCAGAAATGGTTTTAAATTTTTTTCTTCTGAAAGATGAGAAAATGAGAACAACTGAATGAGTTGGGGTGGGAGGAAGAGAGGAGAAGAGGAAGGAAGAAGAGGGGAGGGAAGGACGGAGGAAGAGAGCTGGAGCTTGTAGGAGCGCACGGAGGTTAAAGGACTGAGACCAAGGTTGTCCCTCCGCCATGGAGGTAGAGTCTGGAACTCTGGGCAGTGGCATCTTCCATTTCATGCTCATTTCATCTTTACCTCATTTCCACATTACGTCTTCTGTTCTCTAAAACCAAGCAGCACAATGGGAGAGAGAAGGCACTGTGTTAAAACATGTTTTCACGCTCTTAATACAAAGTGCTTTCTTAGTCTAGGAAGCGAGGGCCCTGCCTTGGGTCCCTGACTTTTGTGCGTATTCTCCCTGCTCTCTGATGCCTCTAACTGTGCATCCAGATTAGCAATCTTGAAGACAGGTGTCACTAATAATCTTCCTAAGTTATTGAAAACACAGAACATCCCTCCCCCGAGCAAGTGGGTGAGTGACAGAATCTTCAACATGAGGACAGTTTAGAGAAGTGTGTTCATTTTATTCTTTGCCAGCTCACTATGAGTAAATTTAAGGTTACAAACTTGTACAATGCCAGTATGAATGGCCACGTTTCCTAGTTTTTCTTAGTGGCTTAAAATTTTAATCCCTAGCAGGGAAAGTGTATCTTAAATGTTTGCTTACCACTCTCAACTTATACAGCTCATTTTCCTTACTCAGTGGCTAAAATATTGTTTCTTCTCTACAAAGACAATGTAGAGAAGAAACAGTATTTTTTCCAACCCATGTGTCAAGTACACTTAATTTTTATTTTCAGGTTTTGAGTAATTCATATGCTGGATTCCCACAGAATGGAGGAAAATGAACATTGCTTTTCATGTTTAAACAATGATTTAATTAAAACTCATCTCATCTGGCTTCCAAATAGAAACACATTTTAGCAGAAAGACAGGCTGGACCAATGCCCATTCCAAAGAAGAGTGGGAATATTCATCAGAGTATAATGCAAGAGAACTCCCACAGATGCTGCGCGGACTCTGATGGGGCCCCATTCATAAATACAAACAACAACCTCAACTTCTCCTGACAAAGTCTTTCTGCTCTGCTTACGAGAGACTTCCTGTCTGGCAGCATAATAGGGACTACACAGGTAGCCCAACACTGACAGGGCCCAGGGGATTCCGAGTTAGGTCAAATTGACTTGAAAACCTATCAAAAAGTGACAGTTACAAAGGCAAATCAAAGAAATGAATAGCACCCAATTCACAAAATATGTAAAACATGAGATGGGTCAGCAGATATTTTTTAAAGTCTGCCACGCACATGTCTTTGCCTGTCTGCCATACATGTGTGTCTTTGCATGTCTGCCATACATGTGTGTCTTTG